GGAGGCTCTGGTCCAGCCCAGTGTCCCCAGACCTCACAGCCCTGTTCCTCCTCGCCCCGCCCCACCACCTTTGCAGCTTCTGTCTTTGGTGGTCTGTAGATCGCAGAGTGAACCTCAGGTAAAGACATTCAAAACTAAGCAACCGTTCTCCTACTCCTCAAAAAGCGTATCAGAGGGGCTGGAGGGATGGCTCAGCCGGTAAAGGTGCTTGCTGCTCGGCCTGACAACCTGAGTTTCATCCCCTAGGCCCAGAGGATAGAAGGGGTGAGAACCAACTTGCGCGACTTCTCTGATCCCCACACACGCACCAAGGCAGGGCCATGCTCCCCTGCCCCAATGCACACAAAATGAATAGATGTAAAAAAGTATTTAAATTGCATCAGGGGTGGTTCGAGGGTTTTTATGTTTTTGGTTTATTTATTTATTTATAAATAGTTTTTTTTTTTCGAGACAGGGTTTCTCTGTGGCTTTGGAGGCTGTCCTGGAACTTGCTCTTATAGACCGGGCGGGTCTCGAACTCACAGAGATCCCCCTGCCTCTGCCTCCCAAGTGCTGGGATTAAAGGCGTGCGCCACCAACGCCCGGCGGTTCGAGGGTTTTTAAATAAACGGTGGCAACAGCTTAGCCAATGTTACAATTGTAAATCCAGCTGGTCATGAGAAAGGGGCTACTTAAGTGTAAGAAAGAGCCTATCAAAGGGCGACTCACACGTGTTCTCAATGTCTTTCAGGAAGCTGAAACAGCAGTATTGTTGAGCTCAAGGCTAGCCTGGTGTCTTAGCTTGCTTCACACTCCCGAGATAAAGAGACTGACCAAAAGCAACTCCAGGAGGAAAGGGTTTATTTGATGTATACCTTACAATACATCACCGATCAGGAACCGGAGGCAGGCAATGAAGGAGAGACAATGAAACACACTGCTTACTCCATTGCTCCTCATGGCTTGCACAGCCTGCTTTTCTTTCTTTCTTAAATTATTATTACTTTATGCGTTGTTGTTCTTGTCTTAATTAGGGTTTCTATTGCTGGGAAAAAGACACTATGACCACAGTAATTCTTTTTTTATATATAATTTTTATTGCATTTGCATTGGTATTTTGCCTGCATGTATGTCTGTGTGAGGGTGTCAGATCTCAGGGTTACAGACAGGTGTGAGCTGCCATGTGGGTGCTGGGAATTGAACCCCGGTCCTCTGGAAGAGCAGCCAGTGCAACCCCAACGACAGCAATTCTTTTTTTTTTTTAATTTGCCGGGCATTGGTGGCACACGCCTTTCATCCCAGCACTTGGGAGGCAGAGACAGGTGGATCTCTGTGAGTTCCCACAGAGAAACCCTGTCTCGAAAAACCAAAAAAAAAAAAAAAAAATTATTATGTGTACAGTGTTTGGCCTGCATGTCTGCCTGCAGGCCAGAATCATGCAAGCCAGAAGAAAGCACCATTTCTCATTACAGATGGTTGTGAGCCACCATGTGGGTGCTGGGAATTGAACTCAGGACCTCTGGAAGAGCAGCCAGTGCTCTTAACCTCTGAGCCATCTCTCCAGCCCCTCAACCTCCTTTCTTATACAACTCAGAACAATTTGTGCAGGGTTAGGACCACCTAGTGGGCTGGGCCCTCCCCCATCAATCATTAATCAAGAAAAAGTCCCACAGACTAGCCTACTGATCAGTCTTATGGAGGCATTGAGAAAATGAGATTCCTTCCTCCAGGATGACTCTAGCTAGTGTCAGGCTGGCGGACACTGTCTCCATATTCCAAGAAAGGAAGGAAGGAAAGACAGACGGATGGAAGAAAGGAAGGAAAAGAGAGAGAGGAAGAGAGAGAAAGGAAGGAAGAAACCTAGAGCCCTCACCAGGTAGACTCTGGCAGACGTTTTGGAAACAGCTAGTTCAAAAAACAAACAAAACAAATAAACAAACAACACCAAAAATAATGTACTGGGCTGGAGAAATGGCTCCGAGGTTAAGAGTGTTGCTACGCTTCCAGAGGTCTTGAGTTCAATTCCCAGCAATCCCATGGTGTCTCACAACCATCGATAGTGGGATCTGATACCCTCTTCTGGCATGCAGGCATATAGATGCAGATAGAGCGCTCATATACATAAAATAAATAAACCTTTAAAAACAAGAAGACCTCCTTCCTTCATAAGTCAATCTAGTATTAAGGTGATTTTGGCACACCGGTCATGCTCTACTTAACTGGTTGTCCTGGAAATGTGCTGGCCTGGGGCTAAGGGTTAAAAGCAGCCACTTTGATTCAGGCTCCTAGAGTAGTTGGTCACTGCATTGCCGTGTTACTGTTCATAAACTTAGCAATAATATAACCTCAACTCTAACCAGTAAGTTAGGCAAATACTGTCTTGGCACCCTTGTGTGGATCAAAGACTTTAAAATGTCTTCATTCCTGAGGGGAAAGGCCCTAGACTCAGAAGAGGGGTGTGGCCAAGGGCACACTGCCCGTTAGTGTCTCACTTACCCCAGACAGGCTGACTCCTCTTTTCCCTGTCACCAAGTTCAGATTGCCATTTTTCATTTTAAAATAGTGATAGTATAACCCAGGAGAGCCCTGAGCCCCAGATCCTCCCGCCTCAGGCTCCCAAACTCTAGGATGACAAGTGCGTATCTCGAAGCCTAGCTCAAATCACCTTTAAAGTTTGTTACACACACACGAACCAACTTATCCTAATGTTGACTGAATAGTCTTTTTAAATTTTTTTATTAACTTTTTCTATGTGTTGGGTTTCCCAGAACTGGAGTTACAGATAATTGTAAGCCATCCTTCCTGGGTGCTGGGAACCAATTCTGCAAGAGCATCAGGTAAACTAACCACTGATCTACCTGCCTAAGCCCTTCCTAATCCTGTTTTAAATTTAAATTTATTTTTATTTTATATGCGTTGGTATTTTGCCATGGGTGTCAGGTCCCCTGGAACTGGAGTTAGAGACAGTTGTGCCATGTGGATGCTGGGAATTGAACCCCAGTCCTCTGGAAGAGTAGTAAGTGCTCTTAGCCACTGAGCCATCTCTCCAACCCCCCCCTTTATAATCTTTTTTTTTTTTTTAAAATAGATGCTGAATGTGGAGGTACACGCCTTTAATCCCAGCACTCGGGAGGCAGAGGCTGGCGGATCTCTGTGAGTTTGAGGCCAGCCTGGTCTACATAGTGAGTTCCAGGACAGCTAGGGCTGTTACACAGAGAAATCCTGTCCCCCCAAAAATCAAAAACAAACAAAAAATTTAGACAATATCTTTTGAGACACGTTTTCATTCTATTGTTCAGGCTGTCCTGAAACTTACTGTCCTGAAACTCTTCTGTCTCAACCTCCCAAGGGCTAGAATTACAGTCATGAGCCACCATGACGGGCTCAGTTCTTATTTTTAAAGGCAACTATGTCATCACCGTAAGAGAAAATACACTTGGACTTTGCCCTATAGAGAGAGACTTGTAAAAAGTCAATACAATAAAAACCAAGGTCTATTATTTAATCTAGTCTGACATCATTGCCTTCTCCAACTGCCTCATGTGTTAAAGAAGAATGAAGAGGACGAAGCTCAATGGGAGAGAGCTTGCCTGGCGCGTGTGAGGTGCCCTGTACAACACCCAGTGTAGTACAAAGAAGGAAAAGAAAAGGAAGCGTGTCATGGAAGTCATACCAGCCCACCTAAAACTGCCCCCTGTGTGTCTTCAGAGGTCCAGCTGGCGTCCATCCCCAGGATACATGAGCCACCTGAACTTTAATCCTTGATGTATTCAACATCAGGTACCTTCAGAGAGCCTCCTGACTCACTTCAGGGGGGATCCCACAGGTCTCTGTCATAACTCTGATGTCACTGTGACCAGGAAATGAGACCTTTTACTGCTGACCCAACAGGGAAGCAACAACAGACTTACTCGTTGCCCCAGCTCTGGTGAAACTAAAAGCTGACATTGAACTGGGTGTGGTAGCACAGCTCTGGAATGGCCCCTCCTCGGGGGACTCAAGCAGCAGTATTAAGATTTCAAATTTCCACTCGGAAGGTGGGAGCAGGAGGATGAGAAGGTTGACGTGGAGAGACGGCTCAGTTCGAGAGCACGAGGGCCTGCTCTACATCCCTAAAGCCCAAGTTACAAAAAACAAACAGAGCACGGTGGGCTACAGCACTGGAGAGTCACAGACAGGGGGATCCCTGGGGCTCACTGGCTGCCTAGCTTAGCCCAATCGGGAGCCCCAGGATCTGGGGAGAGATCCTGCCTCAAAAACCATAGTAGGGTCTGGAAATGTAGCTCATTTGCCAGAGGGCTTACCAAGTGTGCAGGAGGCCCAGGGGCAAAGCAGTGTGTCCTGGAAATCTCTCTCTCTGTCTCTCTGTCTCTGTCTCTGTCTCTCTGTCTCTCTCTGTGTGTCTTTCTTCTCTCTCTCTCTCCTCTCTCTCTTTCTCTCTTTCTCCTCTCTGTCTCTGTCTCTCTCTGTCTCTCTATCCTCTCTCTCTTTCTCTCTCTGTCTCTCCTCTCTCTCCTCTCTGTCTCTGTCTCTCTCTCTCCTTTCTGTCTCTCTCTGTCTCAACAATTTATTTATTTATTTATTTAGCTTTATTTTATGTGCATTAGTATAAAGGTGTCAGGTTCCCTAGAACTGGAGTTCCTAGGTCCTCTGGAAGAGCAGCCAGTGTTCTTAACTACTGAGCCATCTCTCCAGCCCCTGTACCTGAAATCTTAGCACTTGGAACTGGAAGCAAGAAGATGAGAAGCTGAAAGTCCTCCTTGGGTAGACAGTGAGTTCCAGGGCAAGGCAATCCAGGCTTCATGAGACACTCTCACAAAAATAAGTAAATAAAATTTACAGGGTGGACAGTCTTCCTAAAGAACAGTCAAGCTTAGCCTCTGGCCTACACACACACACACACACACACACACACACACACACTAACACTTGTTCATGTTCCCTACACATACTTATGCACACACACAAAAAGGAATAAACGAATATTCCAATATTCCCAGCTATACTATACAGTTCTCTGGTTCCCTAACAAGAAATCACCTCACAGCCCAGCCATGAGTAGAACAGATGACCGAGGCTCAGCAGGGTCACATAGCTGCAAACAGTGAAACGAACACCCTGCTTTTATGTACAGAATCACAAGGAATCTCACACTGGTTGCTGAGCAAAGGAAGCCAGACATAAAATACTATATGAGGGCCAGCAAAGTGGTTCAGCCGGTAAAGGCACTTGCCACAAAAACCTGGCAACCAGAGGTCAATTCCTAGAACCTCCATAAAAGGGCAAGGACGGAATTGACTCCATAAGGTTGGCCCTTATGTGGCAAGTCCCACTCCAACAAACAAGTCAATGCTTAAAAATTAAAAGCAGAACTACTATATGACGCAGCAATTCCACTCCCGAGTACAGGAGCAAAGGGAATGAAGCAGACATCAGAAACACTTGGCTCCGGTGTTCACTACAGTACTGTTCACACGGGAATGAAATGGAAGCCATGGGGGTGTCCATCCGTAGATTCAAGGATAAAGAGAAAACGTGGTACAGATACAAAAGAGGATGCTATCCAGACATGGAAAAAAAAAAAAATGAAACCCCTCCAGCCATGGTGGCTCAGGCCCTCTGGATGCAGAGGCAGACAGATCTCTGGGAGTTTGAGGCCAGCCTGGTTTACATAGGGAGTTCCTAGCCAGCCAGGAACATAGTTGTGTTAGTTACTGTTCTGTTGCTGTGATAAAACACCATGCTACCAAGGCAACTGGCAGAAGAAAGGATTTCCTGGGGTGTATGGTTCCAGAGCGATAGGATCTATGATTTCAGCTCCAAGCTAAGAGCTTACATCTTTAATTTTTTTGTTGTTGTTTTTGTTGTTGTTTTCTTTCGAGACAGGGTTTCTCTGTGTAGCTTTGGGGACTGCTCTGGAACTCATTCTGGAGACCAGGCTGGCCTCAAACTCACAGAGA